CTCCTTTTCCTATCAGTTCTCTCTTTCTGACACTGGATTCTAGGAGTTCATTTCAGTGTTTGTCTGTGGGTATCTGCCTCTGCTTTCATCAGTTGCTGGATGAAGGTTCTGTTTTCTAGACTCTCTGGCAGTGGGAGTTTATGCTGGCACTCCCCTGATTCATGTCTAAATCCATAAATGAGTGAGTATATACCATGTTTCTCTTTTTGTGACTGGGTTACCTCACTCGGGATGGTTTCTTCTAGTGCCATCCATTTGCCTACACATTTCAAGATTCCATTGTTTTTTTCTGCTGAATAGTAAGTACTCCATTGTGTAAATGTACTACATTTTCTCTATTCACTCTTCAGTTGAGGGGCATCTAGGTTGCTTCCAGGTTCTGGCTGTTACAAATAATGCTGCTATGAACATAGTGCAACAGACATCCTTGTTGCATGAATGTGCATATTTTGGGTGTATGCCTAAGAGTGGAATTTCTGGGTCTTATGGTAGATTGATTCCCATTTTACTGAGGACTTCCATACTAATTTCCAAAATGGCTTATAAGTCAGCATTCCCACCAGCAGTGTAGGACTGTGCCCCTTTCTCCACATCCTTTCCAGCATAAACTGTCATTGACGCTTTTGATTTTAGCCATTCTGACAGAAGTGAGATGGTATCTTAGAGTTGTTTTGATTTGCATTTCCCAGATGGATAGGGATGTTGAGCTATTTCTCAAGTGTCTCTCAGCTATTTTAGTCTCCTCTATTGAGAATTCTCTATTTAGTTCTGTATTCCCATTTTTTGATTGGATCCTTTGGTGTTTTGGAGACTTGCTTCTTGAATTCTCTGTAAATTATGGAGATAAGACCTCTATCAAATGTAGGGTTAATGAATATCTTTTCCCAATCTGTGGGTTACCCTTTTTCTTGCTGACTGTGTCCTTTGCCTTAAAGAAACTTCTCAGTTTCAGGAGGTCCCATTTATTAATTGTTGATTTTAGGGTCTGTGCTACTGGAGTTATGTTCAAGAAGCAATCTCCTGTACCAATTTGTTCAAGGGTGCCTCCCACTTACTCTTTTTAACAGGTTCATTGTGGCTTGATTTATGTTGAGGTCTTTGATTATTTGGACTTAAGTTTTGTACATGGCAATAGACATGGATCTATCTGTATTATTCTATGCGCCAGCATCCAGTTATGCCAGCATCATTTGTAAAAGATGCTATCTTTTTTCCATTGTATATTTTTTGCTTCTTTGTTGAAAATCAGGTGTTCATACATGTATTGGTAAATATCAGGGTGTTCAATTTGATTCCATTCGTCTACCTGTCTATTTTTATGCCAATACCAAACCGTTTGCAGGACTACAACTCTATAATAGTGCTTGAAATCAGGGATGGTGATGCCTCCAGATGTTGCTTTGTTGAATAATGTTGTTTTGGCTATCCTGGGTCTTTTGTTTTTCCATACAAAATTGATTATTGTTCTTTCATGGTCGGTGAAGAATTGTGCTGGTATTATAATGGTTAAATCTGTATACTGCTTTCAGTATAATTTCCATTTTTACGATGTTGATCCTACCTATCCAAGAGCACGGGAGATCTTTCCACCTTCTGGTGTCTTCTTTAATTTCTTTCTTTAAGGACTCAAATTTCTTGTGGTATAGGTCTTTCATTTGTTTGGTTAGCATTACACCAAGGTATTTTATGTTATTTGTGGCTATCATAAAGGACGATGTTTCTCTGATTTCTTTCTCAGCCCTTTTATTGTCTGAATATAGTAGGGCTATTGATTTTCTTTAGTTGATTTTGTGTCCTGCCACTTTGCTGAAAGGAGTTAATAGCTGCAAGAGTTCTATGGTGGAGTTTTTGGGGGGGTACTTATTTAAACTATCATATCATCTGCAAATAGTGAAAGTTTGACCTCTTCCTTTCCAACTTGTACCCTGTTGATGTCCCTTTGTTGTCATATTGCTCTAGCTAGAACTTTGAGTACAATATTGAAGAGGTATGGAAAGAGTGGACAGACTTGTCTTGTTCCTGATCTTAGAGGAATCGCCTTGAGTTTGTGTCCATTTAGTTTGATGTTTGCTGTTAAGTTGCTGTATATAGCTTTTATTATGTTGCGGTAAGTCCCTGTTATCCCAGATCTCTCCAAGACCTTTATCATGAAGGGGTATTGGATTTTGCCAAATGCTTTTTCAGCATCCGGTGAGACGATCGTGTGATTTTTGTTTCTCAGTTTATTTATATGGTGGATTACATTGATGGCTTTTTGTATGTGGAACCAACCCTGCATGCCTGGGATGAAGCCTATTGATCATGGTGGATGAGTTTTCTGATGTGTTCTTGGATCCGATTTGCCAGTATTTTACTGAGTGTTTTTGCATCAGTGTTCATGAGGGATATTGGTCTGAAGTTCTCTTTCTTAGTTGTGTCTTTCTGTGGCTTGGGTATCAAGGTTATTGAAGCCTTGTAGAAAGAATTTGGCAAAGACCCCTCTGCTTCTATTGCATGGAATACTTTGAGAAGAATTGGTATAAGCTGTTCTTTGAATTTCTGGTAGAATTCTACACTGAAGCCATCTGGCCCTGGGCTTTTTTTTAGTTGGGAGTTTTGATGACTGCTTCTATTTCTTTAGAGGTTATAGGCCTATTTAAATTGCTTATCTGTTTTTTATTTAATTTTGGCAAGTGATATCTATCCAGAAAATTGTCCATCTCCTTTAGATTTTCAAAATGTATAGAGTACAGGTTTTCACAGTATGTCCTGATGATTCTCTGGATTTCCTCAGTGTCTGTTATTTTGTCCCCCTTTTAGTTTCTGATTTTGTCAATTTGCATGTTCACAGTCTGTCGTTTGGTAAGTTTGGATAAAGGTTTGTCTATCTTGTTGATTTTCTCAAAGTACCAACTCTTCATTACAATGATATTTTTATATTGTTTTCCTAGTCTCTGCCTTATTGATTTCAGCCCTCAAGTTGATTATTTCCTGGCATCTACTCCTCCTGGGTGAATTTGCTCCTTTGTGTTCTAGAGCTTTCAGTTGTGCTGTTACTTCTCTAATGTAACTATCCTCCAGTTTCTTCATGTGGGCACGTAGCGCTATGAACTTCCCCCATAGCACTGCTTTCACAGTGTCCTATAAGTTTGGGCATGTTGTATCTTCATTCTCATTTATTCTAGGAAGTCTTTTAATTTCTTGATTGACCCAGGAATGGTGCAATTGTGCATTATTCAACTTCCATGAATTTGTAGGGTTTCTGCAATCTGTTGTTGAATTCTAATTTTAACTTATAGTGGTCTGATAAGGTGCATGGCTATTCAAATTTTTTTGTATCCAGTGAGGTTTGATATGTTGCCAAGTATGTGGTTGATTTTTGAGAGGGTTTCATGTGGCGCTGAGAAGAAGGTATTTTCTATTTTATTCAGGTGGAATGTTCTATAGATGTCTGTTAATTCCAATTGGGTCGTAACTTCTATTAGTTCCTTTGCTTCTTTATTAAGTTTCTGTCTGGTAGTCTAGAGGTGAGAGTGGGGTGGTAAAGTCTCCCACTATAAGTGTGTGGGGGTTTATATGTGATTTGAGTTTTAGTAATATTTCTTTTATGAACATGGTTGCCTTTGTATTTGGGGCATAGATGTTCAAAATTGACATTTCATCTTGGTGGAATTCTCCTGTGATGAGTATAAAGTGCTCTCCTTAATCTTTTTTGATTGATTTTATTTTGAAATCTAATTAGGTAGATATTAGGATTGCTACCCCACTTGTTTCTTGGGTCCATTTGATTGAAAATTTTTCCCCAACCCTTAACTCTGAGGTAATGTCTGTCTTTGAGACTGAGGTGTGTTTCTTATATGCAGCAGAAGGATGGGTTCTGTCTTTGAATCCATTCTGTTAGCCTGTGTCTCTTTATGGGTGAGTTAAGACAATTAATATTAAGGGATATTAATGACTATTGATTGCTCATTTTGTTTGTTTTGGCATAGTTGATGGTGGTGGAATTATATGTGGATTTCCACCTCTTTTCTTTTGGCTGTTGGTAAGGTGGGATTATCTATTGCCTATGTTTTTCTGGTTATAGTTAACTCCCTTGAGTTGGGGTTTTCCTTTCAGAACTTTCTGTAGGACTGGGTTAGTGGATATGTATTGTTAAATCTGGTTTTGTCATGGAATACCTTGTCTTCTCCATCTATAGTGATTGAAATCTTTGCTAGGTATAGCAGTCTGGGCTGGTATCTGTGGTCTCTTAGTGTAGGTAGAATATCTATCCAGGACCTGCTTGCTTTCAGAGTTTCCATGGAGAAGTTAGGTGTGATTCTGATAGGTTTGCCTTTGTATGTTACTTGGCCTTTTTCCTTTGCTGCTCTTTATAATATTTACTATTATGTGTCAAGGGGATTTCTTTTTGTGGTCCACTCTATTTATTGTTCTGTAGTCTTCTTGTACTTTCATTGGCATGCCTTTCTTTAAGTTGGGAAAGTTTTCTTCTGTGATTTTGCTAAATATGTGGGTGGAGACTGGGACTTGGAAGCTGGCAATCTCTGTGCAGGCTGAATCCTGTTGGATTGGCATCCAGATATGCTTTGCACAGTCCTCAGGTCTCCAGTGGTTCTGCTCTGGCCACCAGAAAGCAAGTTGGAGACAGACCCACACTTACTTCAACTGTCCTGTGGTTGGAGAATGGGCTTGGAATATGGCAGTCTCTGGGAAGGCTGAATCCCATTGGTGTGGGATCTGGATGCACTATGCACAGTCCTCGGGTCTCTGGTGTTTTTTATTTCTTGTAACAGAAAAATAAAATTGTGTAGCTGACAATTCCTCAGGAGAAATGAGAAAGTTCTATGTCAAAGGACTTAAATGGAAAAGTGTGCACTGTGTCTGAAGAAAATAATGCAACTAATTTTATGGATGAAGGGAACAGCAGAAAAAAGATATGGATATAGATAGACAAATATGAATGCAAAAATAATATACAGCTACATACACATATGCAATGTATAGAAAAATATTTTAAATACCTGATTACTGAGGATGCATATTTGATATTGGTAAACTTTCCAATCTGGTGTTACGATGGCTCAGTAGACAGTAGAGTGTAGAATAATACTGAGAATTCTTGCTGGGTTCTATAAGAAGTAAGGGAAAAGGGAAAACTCCTTGAATCTAAAACAGAAGTAGGAAAAGGAGAAGAGAAAAAGGGAAAAGGAGAGGAAAAAAAGGGAAGGGGCAGAGGAGGGATTAGTGCAGGAGAAATGAGGAGTGTCAGAAAATTCCATAATGCCCAAAGAGTGCAGACCAAGTTGGAGACAGAAATGAAGTATAGAAGTATGACTTTTAGGCTTGAACTTACTAGAGTTTTAATTCACAGAGAATAAAACATTATTTTAAGCATGACTTACTTTCCTTTGCTTCATCCTCAAAGTTAAATTCCTAAACCTGCAATTATTTAAGATTTTCATATAACATTTTTAGACTTTAATTTCTTCCTGAAATTATGGGACATATTTGAAATTAAATTTGAGAGTACCTTCATATCTTTGGCATTTGTGGGTCTTAATAACGGTTAATCTCATTGGAGAATCACTAATAAGATACATTGCACAACATGGCTAAATCTACATAGCTGTGGAAAAGTTGAATGCAAATTGAGTTTTTAATTTCAATGTCTGATCATTATGTACTGAAATAATTCAAAATTAGTCTCCTGTGGTAATGTAAACAAATGAATGTTTGAAGTATTTGAAACAATTCATTTAATTCATGAGACAACATGCAGTAAAATAAAACTAAAAATAGAGAAAGTGAAGTGAGGCTCAGGACTGCTTCTATTTTACTGTATTTTAAGTACATCTAAATAAATAAATATTTACCTTTAAATTATGCATTGATTGACTGGTGTGTGTGTGTGTGTGTGTGTGTGTGTGTGCGTGTGTGTGTGTGTGTGTAAGTGTTTTGTGCCTTAATACAGCCTGTGGAGTTCAGAAGGCAACTTGCAGTTGGTCATTTTCTCCAAACACAGAGCTCCTGTGAATCAAAACTGTGTCAGACTTGGTAGCAAACACCTTTATTCACTGAGCCATCACTCTAGTCCCATTTAGGCTTTCAGACAGGATTGCCCACTGAAGCTCAAGCTGTTCCATAACTCACTATATAACTTTTGACTCTTGGCAGTTGTCCTACCTTAACAATTTGAGTGCTGAGAATATGGATGTTACCCACCACACACTGTTTCCACTTTTAACTGGAGTCATTGTTGTCAACCTGTGCTTCTTGACCTTCATAAGTGTTGCTTAAGAGATATTTCCATTAATATTCATAACAGTTGCAAAATTACAGTTATGAAATAACAATGGAATAATTTTAGTGTTGGAGGTCTCCACAACAGCAACGTAATAAAGGATTGCAACATTAGGAAGGTTGAGAACCACTGAACTTGAAGAAATTCCTTCAGAGTTGAAATCAGGAAAAATCACTACAGGAGAGTAAGAGAAAAACAAATTATGTTGGGGGAATCTCTTTTTGTATGCTGTGAATATATGTTTCTCTTATTGGTTGATGAATAAAGCTGTTTCAGCCAATGGACATGCAGGATATAGCCAGGCAGAAAGTATAGGCAGGGCTTCAAGACTAGTAGAATTCTGGGAAGAGCAATGTGGAGAGTGAGTTGTGTGCAAGATGCCATGTTGCTACTGAGAAAGCAAGAGACTCAGGTATCACTGGTAAGCCAATACCATGTGGAGATAAACAGATTAATAGAAATGGGTTAATAATTAAGTGGGAGCTAGCCAATAAGAATACTGAGCCATCAGTCAAACATTTTATAATTAATAAAAGCCTCTGTGTGTTTCTTTGGGACTAAATGGCTGCAGGAATGGGTGGGACAGAAACTTCCATCTACATAATTATCCAACTTGAATCGAGTGTGTGTGTGTGTGTGTGTGTGTGTGTGTGTGTGTGTGTGTATGTCTGTGTGTGTGTTCATGCATGCTTGCACTCACAAGCACATATGTATGTGTGTGTTTATTGAATCATCACACTGTAGCTAACAAACACCTATGGTGAGTGTATGTTAAATAATTTTTAAAAATAAAGATCCTTAAGAAGACAGAATATCTAGCTACTTGATTTGAACATTCCATATTTTATACATGTGTTGCATTATAGCAATCTATGCCCTAATCATGTATAAAATTAATATTAATTAATAAGGAAGTTGAAAGGGGATGTATACGGCTGAGTGCCCAAGGAGAAGAGAAGCCTTGGGAAAGTGCTCCAGGTGCTTTCATTTGGCTGCTTTAAATCTGGAGCAGCAGTGCATGCTCCTGCTTTTAAAGGTAATTGTACTGATTTTCAGTTCTTGCTGTAGTGCTCTGCTTGTGTGCAGAGAGAACAGGCACTAGCTAAGCCCAAGTTGCTTCCAAATAAGGAAATACCATGACAGAGAGCTCTCCTGGAAGGACCCATTGAACACGCAGGATATTAGTCAATAGGATCCATTATCCTGACACCAGGGTGGATAAAGTTTTTCTAGAATACATATTAATCCTTCCTTTTTCCTAGAGAAACCCTAAAATCCAATTCTTAAAATGTCTGAAGAAACACAAATTGACTTACTAAAGCCAATTGTTTTAAAAAGGAGAAACAGAATCTATCACTCAGAGAGTACTATGACTAAATCACTTCACCAAAGCCCCAATTCAGAACACTACTGCAATGGCTAACACCCTTAATCACAGGAACTTTCTGGGGACACCTTGTATCCAAGCAGTAATATCCATTAGTACTTTGGAAATGTTGGAAGAATAATTGCCAGAAGAAACAGAACTTGGAATGATAAAATTGGACATCAGTAGTAAACTATCAACAGTAGTGTTAGTATAAAGGGAAGAATAATACATAATATGACATGATAATAAAACTTTCAAATGAAACAGGAAATTAATAGCATATAATGATGTATAGGTAAATGTAATTTCATAATGAAGTGTGTTGACTAATAAGGCCTATTTTATTTTTGTAATGGCCATTAAAATTAATACATTTTTAGAGAAGCTCATTGCAAGGTGTGAGTTACCCTTTTTGGAGTTGCTGGCCAGTGAGATCCATCACACAAACTCTTCCCAACTTTTACAGAACTTGAAAATAAGACCCAATTATTGAATATCTACTTAAGTCATAAAACATGGAAAACTCAAACTAGTATTCACTGAAAGTGATATTCCTACTGGATATCTCTCATAATGCTATGAAATGCTGTGCGTGATACTGGAAGAGAAAGTTAATCATCAATCATAAGTAACGATCAATCATACCCAACTGTAAATTTATATATACATCAGTAATGACAGCCTCAAAATACACCAGCTGGTGCAATAGTGACCCAAATGAAATGGGAGTAGCCAGTGGCTTTCTGCTTAGGATTAAGGCATGGTCCACAAAAGGGAATCCATAACTGGCATGCTTACTAGAGGTAAGAAAATGTGGATAGATTAGTCATAGGTCCTAGGAAGAATCTGCTACAACTACTCTGCTGAAATAGCACAGTATTCACAACTTGTCAGTATACCCAAAGATTGGTGCAAGTCTCAACCTGCATCAGGAAGCTCCTTTTTGCAGTAGATGGCAGTTAACACAGTGACTCAACTGGTCATGGTATAGAGAATATTTCTAGTTTTAAATGAATCATAATTCATTAATGTAAAATTAAAATAAAACAGTTATAATTAAAACATAAAATTTAATTATATATATTGTAATCATGCATGAAGTTAAATCTGTGTATTTAGAAATAATGAAATATTTAAATGAAGTAAATTTTAATTAAATTTGTATAACTCATGTGTGCTATCTATATGTATTATATATCACATTTAATGTTCAAAATATATTCTTTCTAGTCCATTCCTAATGATATCAGTGAATATTAGAAATATTAGGGATCCATTTATGAGGCTGAATATTTATTGTCAAATTGGCTGAATCTAGGATCAAGTAGAGGACAAATGTCTTGGCATGTCTATGTGGAGTTTTCTAGATTTGGTTAACTTACGTGGGGAAGCCATATCCTAAGTGTGAGCAACATCAATTGATGGGCTGGGGTTCAAGGCTATGTAAAAATAGAAATCTAAATGAGCATCAGTATTTATCATTCTCTGCATCCTGACTAGGGGAACAATGTGGGTACATTATCCCTAATATTGCTACCATGCTTTCTTACCATGATGGAATGTATGCCCTTGAACTATGAACTGAAAGCAACCCTCACTTCCTTAACTTGTTTACTGTCAAGCATTTGGTCACAACAATGAGAAAAATACAATACCCAAATTTAATATTATATTTGCTGATAAATGTATTCATTTATCTAATGTTAAATAGCATTTAATATCTTCAGTAGTATATTAGAATAGCATGTTTTCTTTTTCATTTCTTTTATTAATAGCTAATAAGGTAAATGAAAGTTTGTAGGATGATTGTAAATCACGTCTGTCTTGTCTGCTGGCTCTAGAATCCACTAAGCAATAAGCCTCTGAACACATCCCTGAGTGTCTTTTTTGATTAGATAATTGAAGTGGGAAGACATATCCTTAATATGGATAACATTCTCTAGTGGTATCCCAGATAACAAGGAGGAAAATATTTCATTGCTGAGTTTATCCACTGAGCTTGCCTTGGTGGTAATTTCACCTCATTAGTATGCTGCCATTATAGCTGTTGGCTCTAGAAAACCCATATAGTATTGCTTATTTTCCTCATGTGAGGTTGAGTAGGAATATTCATTTCTAGGAATTTTTAAAGGTGTCAAATATAAAATAGAATTCACTAGGCACTGGGAAAATACTGAAAATGTCAATTTCCTTATTAATACATGCATTGTGTAATTGGAAAGAGCAAGCTGTTACCCTGCATAGCTCCCTATTTTATATAAGCCGAAGCTGAGGCTAGAATGTCTCCATGCTTCCTTCCTCCCCAACCACTTTCTTCTTTCCCACCCTGAAGTACCCAGTGATAAACATAACACATATTTTAAAATTGAGCTACTTTTTAAAACTCTTTAAATTATTTCAGAGACAAATTCTCTAACAGGGAAGGGAAAAGTCCTTCTTCTAGGGCTGATGGCTTCATACTTGTAATGCATCTTACATTGCAGGGTCTTAGAAAAGAACACCATAAAACATGATACTTTGGGGGTGTCAATTACCCTAGAAGAACTCAGAAAGCACTTAGTTCATGGAGGGTTTTTCTTTGAAGTTTTTTCTTTTTGCTGTATGCTATATACTTATGAATGTGCAAATGGGTCTCAGTAAACATCTTCATAATTAATAAAAACTAACAAGTTGCAATGAAAAAGTGACTGTGACACCTGAAGTCTTAATTAGGGTTTCTATTGCTGTGAAGAGATACCATGACCACGGCAACTCTTATAAAGGAAAACAATTAGTTGAGGTGGCAGCTTACAAGTTCAGAGGTTCAGTCCATTATCATCATGGCAGGGAGCATGGCTGCTGCATCTTGATCAGGAGGCAACGGGAAGTGGCCTGTGACACTGGGAGTAGCTTGAGAATAAGAGCAATAAAAGCCCACTCCCACAGTGACACACTTCTTCCAACAAGGCCACACCTACTCCAACAAAGACACACCTCCTAATAATGCCAATTCCTCTGGGGCCATTTTCTTTCAAACCACCGCACCAAAGATCGTCTAATTGCTACACATTTTCCAAAAACTCAAAGATAGTAATGTGCTATACAGCAATCAATGTACAATTGTCCCAATGACCATATCCATCTAAAGTATGTCACATACTTCCATTCTTTAGTTTCTCTGAGGGTTCCTAAAATTTTCTTACTCTCTTTTTAACTTCTGGAATCCCCGTTTCCTTCTCCCTGTGAAGAGGATAGATGATACAAATATTATTAGATTCTCACTCTTTTAGGTGTATCCATGCAAACAATACATTTCTATTCTCTGTCTACTATTAAGCTCTGTTCAATTTATCTCCTAGTCTAAGTTGCCAGACCTTCAACAGGTAGAAAGCTAATTTTGGCATCTATGTGTACCAGTTCTAAAAGAATCAGGTTCTTTGCATTCAAGCACTTAACCTGAACCAGGAAGCCTATGATGTTGTAAATGTAACATAACACAAGGAGCACCAAGCCTACACAGTTGTGATAACAGAAAAACAAGACCATTAGCAGTTACAGGAAACACAGTCCAGCCACGGGGGCAGTGAGAGGAACAACTTATCTCCAAGATATAAAAAAAGAAAAACAGACATATACTTGGGAGAAAAGGGAGGCAAAAAGACTACCTCCTTTTATGCAATTCCATTAAAAATTATGTTTTACTTACAAAGGACTATTTTCTTTTCAATATGGAGGATGAGGCATTATTCCAAATGCCCTTACTCCTATAATCAAGTCCTTTAACTCCATGGAGATGTAGATTTGCTTGTTTTGTATTAGCACCAAGCTTGGGAAATTTTCTTATTGTTTAGTATTAAGGAACAGGATGATAAAGTTGGTGGAGCTGAGGAGGCTGGCCTGTCTATACATTTCTTTGGAGTTAATGTTCAAAACTTACTGTGATGGGAGAGGTTCTTGTAGTTCTGTAGAAGACTGGGTCACCCTAAGAACAGATGAAGAGATGACCACTGCTCCCCCTGATTTCTGTTGAAGGAGTCTATTAGCATTGCAAGTCACATCAGCAACCTTTACCAGACACAACACTCACATCGCATCAACACAGTACACACAACTCACATCACATCAGCACACACAACACTCATCACATCAACACAGCATACACAACTCACATCTCATTAATACAACACACACAACTCACATCACATCAACAGAGCACAGACAAATCTCATCCCATCAACAAGCTTTTAGGAGGATGGTTTCATTAGGAGTCAGGGAGAAAACTTCAGAATTGGAGAGTATTCCTTCTCGTTCTGGAACACAGAAATAAAAGTCTCTAGGCAACGGTAACACAGTCTTGACACGGAAGAGGGGAAGATGAACAGAAGGACAACAAAAACTGTGCTTTCAGATGACGGTAATTACATTGAAAAACTGAAAGATTTGCAAATCTTTCCCTCACAGGTATCCAGTCAAATGTAAAAAATGAGAAAGAAACTCTGGGAACTTCAGGGAGTTGTGCTTTTATTTTATTTCATATTTTGTTTTGTTTGCTTTTAGCTTTTTGAGACAGCACTTCACTGTCTAGCTCTTCCTGTCTTCACAAATTCTGTGTATAACGGGCTGGCCTTGATCCTCCTGCCTCTGCTGCCAGCATAACAGGGTTACAGGTATGCGCCACTGTACCCTGCCTGTTGTGCTTTTAAGTTAGGCATCATATGTGGTATGGCATTGACACCAAAGTGACATTTTGAAGCTCTTTTAGCCTTAGAAGAAAGACCTAGTGTGAGCCCGTGAGTGTTTTGTGGCCCAGCACGATTCCTTCCACATCACCTTGCCTTTTCTTTCTGTTTTCCTTTTGCTCCCCTCAAACAGTTCAATTTTCCAGCAGTTATTTTTTTTCCTTCCTACAAAAAGGACTTTCATTATGGTCGCTTAGTATTCAATGAGTAATCCTTTGGTTGCGCCCTATTTCATTGATTTGCAGAAGTGCACAAGGAAAGCTGCTAGCAGGAACAAATTGAATTTGACACTAAAATAAGACTCATATGTTAGGCTTTCAATGCAAGCAGAACAAGAGAGGCAGAGCAAAGAGGCAGAGTTAGCAAATAGCCCTGGGCATAAAGCAGGTGAATACCTTTGAGAAGAAGCAGGCAAACAGGCCTGCCTCTGAGGGGTCCCTGAAGTTGAAGACTGACAAGGACCTGAGTCTAGTGGTTCCTCTTTTGGAAGGGGACAGAGAAATCAGGAAACAAACACCTTTATTTGTCACGATTGGGGGAAAAGTTCAAAACACAAAGGAAAGTAGTAACGCAGGAAACAAATTGATGTATATTGGAACAGTGCCATCCTCAATCTCAGCTAATTCTTAGCTCCAGCCCTGTTTCCTCGTCAATAAATTGGAATTAGGATAACAGTTTAGAGCTATTATGGCTGTAAGTGAATGTCAGTGTCTCTCATTGTCTCCAATCATACGTAGGGATGCTTATTCTTATACAGAGAGTTGAGTAGAAGCTAAACATCACTACTTTTTAATGTTCTATATACTCCTTTTATGTTTTATAATAGTATAGTTGAATACTACAAAGATGGCACTTAAAAATTCCAAAATATTCATTATTTGGATTTTTATGAATCGTAGCCAAACTAAAAGGTGTAAAATATGCATTAAATTTGTGGATTTTGGGGAGGAGGACGTTTCAAGGCCAGAGGGTAGAAACTAGGGCATAAGAAGATTAGTGGGACCCAGATTCATGATGTGAAATCTACAAAGAATCAAAAACGAACACACAAGCAAACAAATGAGCAAGCCCCTTAAGGCTCAGTGATTTGTGGGAAGAGTAGGAAAAAAGGTTGTAAAAGTCAGAGGAGGTAGATGACACCCAGAAACCAGTGTCTTTCAGATAAAACTGGGCAGATGCATGTATATACTTAGAGGGACTGTGGCAGCAAAACAAAGTTCAAACCAGATAAAATCTCAGAATTGAAAAGGGGAAGTTGGCACAAAGTTGTTCCCCTAACCAAGCAGCTATTAGTAATGAATATCTGCTTGGAAAGGGAAAATCGGTTTTCCTCAATGGAGAGTTAGTAAATATATCAACCACAATCCAGGGCACTGTCCATGCCACAAAATAGACTCCATGGGTTTGTATGTAGGGGGGTATTTTTGCTCTGTTTTGATACTTTTTGTTTTATTAGTATTTTGATTGTTTAGCTTTATATTTTTTGTTTTGGATTTTATTTGTAAATGGAGAGAACATAAAAGTGGATAGACAGGAAAATGGGGATGATCTGGAAATAATTGGGGTGAGGAAAACATGATCAAAATACAATGTATGGAAAACATTTTAAAAACTGACTTAGTATGTTACCCCTTTTAAACAACTATTGTTGACATAGGTATTGTTGATATTACCTTTGAACACATACCAATTCTGGATTTCTCAGTAATAGACTTTCTGTAGTCTCTTAATAGGTTTCTCCATTGAGGCAGTAATCTTGATGAAGCTGAATTGAAAAAGTAAAAGAACAGGTTTATTTCAGCAAAGCAACAAACCAGTAAGTTCTTCAGTCCCAGAGATTGAAGTAGGAGAAGTCATGCACTGAACTGAAGCAGGAAGTGTGATGACCTGTCTGCCACAAGCTGTGTCTGTGCCCAAGTACGACCAAAAACTGAAAACTTAGGCATGGACTTGGGCTGGCATCAACAGGTAAGGAAAATGCAATAGCATCCAGAAACATGGAACTGGGCTTTTGGCACGTTGTTTGTCTTGGAGATTCTCTGAGAGGGTGAGGTTTAGAGAGAGAGACAGGGATGGGCCTATCTGCATCATGCATGGGTGAGCTGAAGACTCTGACCTAACACCTAGGTGATGAAAAAAATGTGATTTTTGTTAGTTGTAGTTAACTATAACTGCTAAATCAAAGACGATGTGATGTCATTTCTCTTTGTTTAATGCACATGTTATTTAAGTATGTAGAGTAACCATGTTCTTTATTAGCATGAAACACACAGCATCCAGTTCATTATGGTTTCCAACTCTGAGGAGCCACTCTAGGACATAATTTATTGCATCAGTATGAAAGCTAAATATTACATCAATTTGAAAGGACAGTCTGCTTTGTTTCCTACATTATTCCTGGAAATTATTTTTCCAGCTGTGAACAAATTTCCACTGGAATTAGTTAAAGGAAGAACCACACTGTGAACTGACCATGGTGGTGTAGGTCTGTAATCTTTGCACTTAAGAAATGGAGGCAAGAAGATCAGAATTTCAAGACCAGGCTGAGCTAGATGATACCTTTTCTTAAAACAATCATTAAAACAAAGAAATCATGTGTATATCTCATTTATGTAGAGACTCACTATAGCCCTGTCCAAGACACAAACTCCAATTCAGCTCTCCATCAGGAAGTACTTTCAGGCAGTATGTTCCTTTTATAATTTTGCATTTTAAAAATGAGTTTCCAAAAAGATAAATCCCAGGGGGAGATGGGAGTCTATTTAGCATCTCTCTCTCTCTCTCTCTCTCTCTCTCTCTCTCTCTCTCTCTCTCTCTCTCTCTCTCTCTCTCTCTCTCTCTCTCTCTCTCTCTCTCCCTCCCTCCCTCCCTCTCTCTCTTATCTATCTACATGTTAATTAATCTTATTATATGTAGAAAGAGATTAAAAGAGATACATTAGATGAGTAAAGTCATCACTCAATTATGAAAACTAAATAGTGTCATGATAGTTAAAGTGTGATCTGGTTAACTGTAGAAGTTGATCTTTGGATCTGTCCAAATTTGAAGTCCTAAAAGCCAGGGAAACAGGCTATAAAGATTCAGGATACTAAGGGATGTTTGGTTCCATTGCTGGCATCTAAGAATGTGCAGTTAGGAAATTCTGAATACAATAAAAAAACTTCTTGTCTCTGAATGACAGTACAGAAATTTTCTTTCATCTATTTCTCTTATAAGTGTGCTCTGTTCACCCAAGTTGATTGAATGGTCCTGTTTACATTAAGGATGGGTTTCTACCCCTGAGTCCACATAAATCCTCTGAAGAAATGACAGTGTGGCCACATTCAGGGAAGCATAATTATTCTAATTAAGTGTCAATACTCTTTGCTTTTATTTCATTAGAACAGGTATGGTGCCTATGACTACTGAAGCGCTAAGAATACCTAATATGATTAAGTGATATTTTGCTGAGTTTCTATATGTCCCTCAACCAGGTGAAGCTTACATTGAAAACCAACCATAGAACTATGTGGCAAAACCAGATGTATGACTTCTTTCTATGTTCTTGAGATGATGGTACTTAAGTGAGGCCTTTCTTGTCTCAAAGTTTATGGGACACTCCCCACTGTGTGCTAATTTATTCTTTCCAAATATGTTAGCAGCTTGACAGTGACAATAAAATAAAATTAATTAAAGAGAAGAAGGAATGTTGGAGAATTCTTGTATTGGTATTGTCTTCTTTTCCCACTGATTTTATCTTTCCCTTTTGTTTACGGACAGAATGAGCTCATACTGAAGATGTGCAGAGCAGTTAACAGCTATCAGAAGCTCTAAGATCTGGAAGTATATTCTACCATGTCAACAATGAAGGAACGGGAGTCTAGAAGATGATGACTTTACCTTGAATCATACAGCAGAGGATACAGCCTTATAAGGCTTAGGATTTTCATCATTCTATTTTTTACCTTTTTAAAATTTTATTATTTTTTACTTTTTTGGAGTTTCATATATGAGTACTGCATATATATATACATATATATAATGAATGCACTTAGTATTATTTGTATGTACATGTGTTTATGTCTGACCACTTGGAATTAGATTCTTTTCTCAACAGTTACTGATTACATATAGTTCCTCATACAGTGATGGGGCGTTATGAAATTTCCCCTGTCTATGTTGTCACATATAACTTTTATTGAATCTGTTTTTTGACAAATATGCATGCATATAATGCATTCTGATTACACTCTCTCTGCCCACTTTTATCTCATAGCAACATGAATTAGTACTCCTTCCTCCTTGCATGTTCTTTCCCAATGTTAATGGCCTATTGTTTTGTTTTGCTTTGGACTAAAATTTTTTGACTGGGGATTTGAGTCTGACCATGGGTTTGGAGCTGTCGATCTATGCCTGGTACATTTACCAGACAGTACAAAACTGAAGATGGTGACTGCCCCACCCCTGAAATTCATTAGTAGCCAACAGTTTAAAAAGTTTTGGTCAGTTTTATTTAACTATTTTAAATTTATCAAGAAATATCTAGATAACTTCCCTCAAACACAAATAAAAAGAACAATCTTTTGCCTGGCAGGCAGTGGTGGCACACACTTTTAATCCCAGCACTTGGGAGACAGAACTCTGTGAGTTTGAGGTCAGGCTGGTCTTCAGAGCTGCAGATTGAGTTCCATGACAGCCACACCTACAAAACAGAAATCCTGTCTTTAAAAAAAAAGTATTTGAAAGCCAGGAACACAAATGTGAACAATAGAAATGATCATAAGAACCTGTCCTTACAAGTTTCACAATTTAAGTAGTGATTCATTCTTAAAGATGATTAAGGCACTAGGGTAATATTAGTGTTGTTACTGTGATGAAATATTTGGCTAATGCAAATTAAAGGGGAGAAAAAAGCTTAATTTGTTCTAAGATTGTCCTCTGTCATGGTAGGTAGGGCACAGGGGAAGGAGTATAAGGCAGCAGAACACATACAAAATAAAGACTAAAAACAAAAGCTATCCATGTTGTAGGGATACAAAATACACTGGTTGTGTATTGGCTTCATTCATTATTTTCATCGATTATTTCTTAATTTATCACACTAACCATCCCATATAAATACTATTACTGTGCTCAGAATCTAATTGAAAAACCAAAACTGTGAGTGAGAATGAGTATGAGCAATTCACTGACCCACATCTCTGAATTAAGGGATGCAAAATATACTATAGGAGACTGTAAAGGAGCAGTGGTCACGACATAGCTGAGGTAGGGCAAGACTCAAGGATCATTGAGTCAACTTTCTTTTTGTTTGTTTTTGACAGGAATCATACTTATTATTTTGTGATAATTTTAAAGTAAACTAATATTCAGCTCCAGCATGACATTTCAAACATGTGTGTCACAGTATTTTGCTTATATTCAGCACTCATTAGATGACTCTAATGTTATGTAGATGATGTTTCTTCTGAGGAGGTGGAGGAACAAATCCAGGAGAAAACAGCTGAGTTCCAGGGATTATTTAGAGAAGTCTGAAAGTGAAGTTGCTATCACAAATACCATATGGAAGTAACTTAAAGATAAATAAGGAAAGATGTGTGAAACACAGAATGCATAGCTTCCTTTGAGCCACTGAGGAGTTTCCCATTTCTTCTTTTCCCAGTGAAATACTCCACATTTGACCCTTTTCATTTATTTGACAACTGTAGTCAATTCAAGTCAGATGAGTCAATACATCTGAAAAACTTTAATGGTTTCCATTTCACCAAAGATGAAATTCAGATAACAATGGCAAAGCACTCCATATTTTTCTACCTTAACCTCTTCGTTTCCTGACAAACTATCCTTCTAATTACTGCACCAATGCTGAAGCCTGTCAGCTGGTCTTCAAGTTTAAGTGAACTCTTGACTCTGAGAGGTTTACTGGGGCTCTATGGATACTCTCTCCCAAACTATGTAGCCCATTTAATGTTTTCCTGTAGATCTTTGATAAAACATCTCACAACTTTCTCTGATTACCTGTGCCAGGTCACTGAAGCTACTGAAATTAGATACCTTATGAAGAATGATGTCTTACTGACTACAGTATTGCAGGTTGGGAAGCCCAAGATCAATAATATATTCATTGGCTGGTGAAGATCTGCCTCCCAGAATATAGATGATGTCTTTTCATTCTATCTTCTTATGATGAAAGAGGCAAGGCAGCCCTCACAATTGCATTTGTGAAAGCACCAGTCCCCTCAAGGTATTCACCTTAATAACTCTTGTGATAGCTAATCTTCATTGCTTATTTGATCGGGTTTTAAATTGCCCAGAAAAGGAATCTGCTGTCATGTCTGTGAGAGCCATTTCTGAGAAGCTATACTGAGATGGAAACACATACCACATACTCCCAAATATGGGTAGTACCATAACATGGGCTAAAGGTCCCAGACTGAATAAAATCAGTATTCATTTCTCAGGTGTGCCAGAGTGCGTGAGTGGCATTTACCAGAAAATTTGTGGGAGTCAGCTCTCTCTCTTTCCATGTAGGTTCCATGAATCAGACTAAGGATGTCGGGCTTAGTAACTAAGCACCCTTACCCACTGAGTCATCCTTGTCACCCATTACTATTAAAATCCAACATGGCATTTATCTGTGGATGTCTCCTCTCAATATCCCTCTCAACCAACTCCCAAACTTGGGAGGCTCAGTTCGTGTAGTAGAGTGTTGATAGGCTTAGGAATATCAAGACATAGACCTCATGAGATATGCATGTTTACACACCAGTGGATAACCTGTTTCTTCTTCAAGTAACTTGAACTTATTTGATGAGCTCTGTCAGTTTTTTTAAGTTGCCCCAAATTCTTCTGTTACTTTTGGCATTAGATTTTGAGATACACTTTTTTTTAACCTTATCAAGAGTACCTAGAAACCTCCAGCCAAAGCAGAGAAAGATCAAGTTGTAGTAAGATGAACTAGCTAATAGCTCACAGAGATCTGTAACTCAGTCATTAATTATAATCTACTTAAATGTTCTTTTTCCGTTAAGTTGCCTTAGTCTTTAGCTACCTAGCACAGAATTTTTGTAAAATCTTTAAAAATACTATAAGACCATATCACTAGAAAAGAATGACTAAAATTACATAAGGAATAGAGGGGGCAGAAATAAAAGGTTATTTTGTTTGTTAAAGGTCAGTCAAGCTGGGCCTCACACATTGATTTTTCTCAGCTGTTAGTTAAACAAGTCTCAAAAATAAATGTATTATAGGCAATGGTATGTTTGCAACCATCGAGCTGAGCTTTAATTCCAGAATGCAATCAATATGGCTTTGTGTTTCCATAACAGAACACAAGCAGAAAATCTGTGATTGAGGCATATGTGTTTGTGGGGTTGCTGATATTTCAGGCCAATGACTGCTTTGACAAATGATACCTTGCTTCCAATCAATAACTCATAAGCCACAATTTACTTTTCTTTACCTTGAACTATAACCAGAGAGGCAAACGTCACTACAATTTCCACTAAAACAAGGGTAAGAGTTGACTTATGTATGTGCACATATGTGTGAGTATGACCCAAAGGGCAAATAGGACCACCAAAGGCAACAGTGTGTACCGCTGGGGACTGAAGGATCATGTAGTTGTGACCTGAGGAAGTGCAGAAACCTGGTATGTATAATTGTGCTTTCAAGTACCTTTATGCTCCTTGACACAGAACATTGCTTTATTTGTGTCTAATGGAAACAATATACTGCTTGGGAAATGGACATATTATCAGATTGCATACAAAGTTGTTTATTATACTATGACTCACAATGATGTACAACAGAAGCAAGCTGGCTTTCTAAGGGTGACCATGGAGAATGATGTGATGTGGGCAGTGCTGAGCCACACTAACACAGAAGCAAAGTAGCAAGAGAAGTACACAAGAAGGAAAACAGTATTCTTTTTATAAGGCATACTTTTATAAAGTACTCTTTTTATAAAAGGGACATATATACCTTTTCCTACGCAAGTTTAGTTAATATGATGCAGTAGCAAAGTATCTTGACTTTCAGAATGTCAGGCTCTCCACGGTCCATCAGACAGTATTCTATTCAGCAATAATTTTTTTAAATTTTATTTTCCAGTTTAAATTTAGATGAGAATCAAGGTTGCTTCACAAGTCAGTTCCAGGTCCCTCTCCCATTCCCTCCCTTCCTCCCGTGCCCTCCCCTCCCCCCGTTATCCTCTCATTTCTCCAGGGAGGGTGAGGCCCTCCATGGGGGTGTCCATAGTGTGTCATTTCATATAGGGCAGGGCCTAGACCCTTTCCCAAGAGTTCTGGGTGCACCTCACATTGTTCTATTGGAGTCCAAAGTCCGTGTGTATACTTGGGATGGGTACTGATCTATTCAGTAATAATTTTAAGCATAAGAAAAATATAGTTCCCCAAATTGATATATGTATCATTAGTTTTAAAATAAAATTTCCTATCTTATGACTTGATCTATTGAAATAATGTACTGTCATCAAACAAGAAAATGGAGAGGGAAAACATGGTCTATTCCCTCTTTAGACACAGAATGAAGATAATCCCCATGCTTAAAAATTAAATGTGTAAGTCGAAAGAAAAATAGAGGTTAGAGATTCTTTATGTTTTAGCTTTATTAATTTTTATTATAGATTTTGAGAAAGTTCTTAATATATGGAACTCAGAAAAAATAGGCATATTAGCAGAGAAATCCATTGTTAAGTTTCCAGAAGAGGAAATAAAAATGGAAAATGATACACGTCAATTTTGAAGATTATAATAAATCAAGTAGTGAATGCTTCTGGATTATGTGATTTGTCAGTAAAATTTACAACTATATTTTAGAGAACAGTTCTTAGGATTAAAAGAGTAGTTTATGACATTACATGCCTGATGACAATGACTGAGTCATTCTGTTGTATGATTCCTCATAAGCCCCATAAGGAAAGAGTGACTGCTTTTCTAAATGGTGGGTACCTCTTTGATGGAGATGCTCCGATCTTAGCTCAGCACCTTGG